ATAGTTTTCTGTCAAAACTTAAGAAAATGGAAGTTTCATCATATAGATTATTAACTGTTTTGCACATGGGCTGTATTTATAAAAAGTCAGGCAACCAAAACTGAAATCAGAGAAAGTAGCAGAAGAATTGATAAAAGGTCACAATTAAGTTCTTCTTTCTTTGTTGTGAAATCTATTTCATGTTCAGTCACTTTATTAACCAAGACATGCCACACCACCCCATGCCCTTTCTTTTGTACTCCCAGCAATTTACTGGGACTCCTTCTGTGGATTATCTAATAGCAGGGAAGGTATAGATGCACCATTATTACTCCTGTTGTCACATGAGATATATTACATGGAGTTTGAGGCAGAGTATTTTGTCCTGGATACAGAAATGAATTATCTGTCCATTCTGTGAAAGAAGTGACAAGCTAAAACAGAAGTACAGCAGCAGACTCATGCACCATCCCGGCTGGCTTCAGTTTAGAATTAATCATTCCTTATGATCTTTATGAATCTGTATTCCCACTGGTGAGTCTTTTTATGATCCTGTTAACTCTTAAGGGCATTTATTTATTGACTTATTTAAAAAACCCTTAAGCCTGCTGCTGCACTACTTGTGCAGACAAGTGTAGTAAAACACAGGGAACCAGTCACTTAATTCAGAGTGATAGCAATGAGTACAAGTTCAGGATCAGCTTCTTATTTTTCCCATTTTCATTTTCTGATTGCTCTTCCAATTTTGTTTTCTTCTGAGCTTAACAGGCAAGTATTAAACAGTTTAAGCCTGGAATTTGAGCAAACTTTGACTGGTCAATATTCTTTGCATGGGAAAGTGAATTTAATTGTGGTGTCTTATCCCTGTTTGTGACTATGCTCTCTTTTCAATCATAGGTGTGGTGACCTATATACAGAGTGTTTAGCAGAAAGCTACTCCCTGTAAAATTTCACATATGGATCCAAACTCAAAGTTCCTCCCTCCTCCAGTCCATTAATTTTTTATGGCTCCCTTATCCAAAAAACTTCATTTTTAAACAAGCCAAAACTACTTAGGATTTAACGCCTTGACATTTTGATGCATAAGCTTATCTTGGGACAAATGCTCTTAATGTTCTCCTGTTTAATACCACATATCCACAAGGATATGTGTATGTATGTAAAAAAGATGTATATGTATCCTTACACCTTTATATATATGCATGTTTATACAAGTACATATACCTATGTTCCTAATTTTTTTGGTAGCCTTTGTTTCCAAAAATGATTTTAGTCGAAATTCCAAAGTATGGATTTCATTTAGGATTAATCAAGCAATTAGTACAGCAATAGGAATTTATTGTTATAAATGCATACCAAATATGTGCCTTTTAAAATAAACTTAAAATAATGTTTCTAATTAGCAAATGGAATACAACATTTTCTAGCTGTCTCATTAAAATGAAATTAGATGCACAGTTGGGAATTTTAATTCCAAACATTCACCTTTATTGTTGAGACATGTTCCTGAATGAGTTCCTTGACTATTTCACAAAATGTCCATGCAAATGAAGTTGTAAAACATGGGATCGAATCTTGTTAACATCCCTTTCCAGAATTATGACATTGAAAGAACTTCAGAAGGAAAAAGGGGATAATATAAATTTATCCTCCTCTGTTTCATGGATTTCTACACTGTTTGTTGTGAATGATTATGTCCTTAGCATAAAAGTAATGTAACAAAAAAAACCCCAAAAAACAACAACAAAACCCCCAAACCCCACAAACAAACAAAAACAAACAAAAAACCCACCACCCTAGAATACCTCAGTTCCTTCTCTAATACAATTTAATATTTCTAAGACAATTCAAGAAAAGGATTAAAAAATATTAAGAAATAATGGTTTTACGTGATAACAGTAGGGAGGAGTTTCAAACAAATTTGCAATCACATGAGGCTCATGCCTAATAATTGCAGTCTAGGTCTTGCTCCAGACCACTTCTGCTCTAAATCTGTGAGCCTTAAAGCAAAAGGCAATTTTTAAAGAGGTTCAAGGGAAACAATTCTCTGTGTGGATACCCAGACCAAGCCAACAAACCTGGGGCTTTGAACGTGAAGTGTCGAGTGTAGAGATCAGCCTCCAGCTGCGCACACCTACCTCCTCCTGCAACCAGCACACAGGAGGAGGGACTTTTTCCAGAAAGGTTAGGACACTTTTGACTCTTAGGCAACTTGAGGTCAGCAGTGGGAAGTGGGACACACATAACTCACTAACAACCTCCTGGAGTCAGGTCCACCCTGGAGCTGGCACACAAGGGAATGCTGTAACTTTGTGAGGGAAGAGCAGATCTGGGACAGGTAGCAGCATACTGAACCTGTCCTGTGCCTTCAAGACCCCCATCACTGCTCCCCTTCTGGCCTTCTGAGTCCTTCAGATCCACAGAGGGGAGAGTAGAGGCAGAGGTGCCAAAACACAGAAGATGAGGGAAGAGGAGGAAGAAGGTGGAGGGAGACAGGGGAGACAGCCTTAACAAGCAAAAGTTCCTAAATGCTGTAATTAGATGGTCAGACTTTATTACACAGATTTTTCTCCCCTGTCCCTATGTTATATTGGGACAGTTAAATATTTACATGTATCCATATAGTTTTCAACCTTATACTATTAAAGACCATCCCTGTATCTTTTTGGTCTAATTTTCCAGAATCAGTCTGAGTTCTAATCCTATTGAGCCCTTTCATCCTACATGGGGTGTTTACTTCCTATTGCCTTCACAAAGGCAAATGGATACAAGTGATGCAAGTCTAATTTATGTCTTCTCTAGAAAAATAATCCCCTTTTGTTTCTCTAAATAGTACTGAAATGTGCAGTTAACAGAAAAACACAAGTATACAAAGATAGTGAAGGATGGTTCTGCTAAGTTCTCTGGTGCCTTATTTGTGCCTCATGTAGAGTGCTGACCTAAGTAAAAGCCTGATCTGCATCAAATGTAGTGAACTTCACCGACTTCCTTGAAGATTTATTAATGAGAGGCCAAAAAGTCAGGCTGCAAGGCTGCTTGGCTGCATGAGTGACTGTGAGAAATTCACCCAGTCATTCTGGCATGATGCACAGAAGATGGAGCTGATCAATAAATTCCAGATCACTTATTTTCTCAGAGTCTGGTATACAAATAAACAACTGCCACACAGATCCAAACTCCAAAAATAAGAAAAAGCAAGGGAATTAAGAGATTTGTGCATATCTTGTGCACCATGTTCCAAGAAAGGCCCCAAAAGTAGCCCTTTGTTGGAGAAGGTTACGAAGGGAAGGAAAAAAGGCAGTGTAAAGCTCCTTAATTTAATCTCGTAGAAAACACCATACGTTTTTACATGCTTCATTAATGCTCCCTGGTTTACCAATGAGAAACACACAGCGAGTCCAACCTTCAGGGGTCAGCAGTGCTCAGGATATCTCTGAACTGCACTCTAGGCACTGTGGGGACTATGGAATAAGGGCTGACTCTGCTCAGAATTAATCCTGCACTTTTAGGATTGTATGGCTTGGAATCTGAAGAGCAGCTAATTGAAAATCAGCCCCCATCTCACAAATACCACCAATCACTAGGGCTCTTCCCTGAAATAAAGCAGTGCTTCATTCAGAGGGTGCACTTAGAGATTATTCTTTGAAATAGATTTGCTAGATTGCAAATTCTCAGTTCACTCCCTAGTTTTTAAATTAGATAAATACAGTAGCCTTTTCTGAGCTTTCTAGTGCAGATAGTCCTGTGCCTTATGAGTGATAACATTCATTTTTGGAAAGCCTAATACTATCAGACTATCTGTATATTCTCTGGAATAAAACTTGCTAAATGCAGCAGAGTTTCTGTGGCTGTGCTGAAATACAAACAGTATAAAGAAAGGCTGCTGCTTCACTCTCATTTTTATGCCCAGTGGTCTTTCATAGACTGTTCTGCCTGAATTTAAGTTTTAGTAGATTATCTTCAAATTAGAGCTCAGGATGTACTTACAATTTAATGCCTCACTCCACTAGAAGCCTAACAATTTAAATGCAAGGGAGCAAAATCTTTATAGCTTTGCTTTGTCTTGACAATGTGCTGTTTATGGACTCTTTTTCAGCATACACAGGCATACATGCATGAAAAGCCAAGAGGTGGAAGTGAAATGACTCAAACAATGAATCTTTCCTGTTACAATGTTATTGCTATTCCAGGCTTTCTTATTCTTGTTAAAGGACAGTGGATTGAATAAAAAGGGAATAAGAAGTGTGATGGATAGAAAAATATAATGATGACAGTATAATAAATTATTGCTTACCATTTCCTGAGTGTTTGCAAAATCTGCCTCTTTCGAGCTACACTGCACCAAAAGCATTATATTATTAATCAGGGCAATACAAAGGAATACATATTTGTATCAAAATCTACTTAAGTGTACTGATCATTCCTGCTCCCTAAAAGCAAAACCAAAATAAAAACAAAAGAAAAAAAAAGAGGAGATTTTCATCTAATTGAAACAGTACATGATACACTACTAATACTTCTGCATATACAGAGGTACGTTGATATCTGATTAAAAATACAGTCTGAGCCTTAGCACACTGTCTTGCATGCAGACTTTTATTGACTACATGATAAACTACTCTTTATCTGAGAATCACAGCCATAACCCCTCAAGGTAATTTTATTTGACCTCAAATGAACATGAAAAAGGGGCTCACAGAGCAGCCATTTCTTTGCTATTTCTGCAGCATCTCTCAAGGCAGTGGCAGTGCAGCTTTAGTGTAGAAAGTGTTAGTGCTTCTGAAACATGTAATTAGAGTAAATCTTGAACTGAACTTGACTTTATTTTATATTTAATGACACGATCTCAAAAATACTTTGATCTGCATTAATGCAGTTGCTGGAATAAAATTACTTTCAGTCATTTAGTGTTTTGATCCCATATTTAGCTACACTATCTAGTCTTCAAGAACTGATGGTCTTACCCCTATTACCTTCAAGAATAAGCTGTCTCTTACCCCTATTACCCCTAGAAGACTTACCACTAGAGAGTAACATATCTTGAATCCAGGTTTAGCCACAAAGTAGTCATCAGATTTGAAGGTTATCTTTATGTGATTTGTCCTTGATGTTATTCTTGGAGGCACTTCCTTGTGTCCACACCACCGTCCTCGAATAACTGTGCTGGTCTCTGACACATCTTCCACTTCCACAAAGTCATACCTGAAAAAGAGTATGAATAATTAGTTTCTGTTGAGTCTGGTTACAGAAGGTGCTTGCAAATTGACAGGAGCACAGCTGGAGATACAAAGACATCTGTCCCCTGTTCTCCACTCCAAAACATCTGACTAAATATTACAAATGGTGGACAAGTCTGTGCACCACTAAATACACTAAGCTGCAAGCTACTGCCTGAGTGCTCAAATGACTGATTTCTGTGCTCCTGGAACATGACAGTATTTGCTACCACATTAAAACAGCAAGAAGAAGCACTTGCATGTGCTTAGTATACAGTAAGCATACACATTGCGTTTCATGTGGTGGGTAAATAATTTAGAGACCTGATAAAATATTATTTAAGGCAAGCTGCCCAACCTGAGCAGCTGCAAGCACTTGTGCACTTTGTGGTGGTCACCCAACTCCCTGCAGCAGCAGCAGCAGCAGCCACAGGCGCCGGCTCTGTTGGTCAGAGGGCTAGAGAGGGGCAGCCATTGTGCCAGGAGCAAAGGGAGGTGCTGGAGGGACACAGGGCAGCGCATGATACTGAAAGGTGCTTTTTTAGGACCTTCCTTGTAGGTGGCACATTGCTCCTGTAGCTGGTTTGGAAAGATTTATGTCTAGCTTTCAAGCAGGAAAGCATGCTGCTGCTCTGTGTGCTGCAGTGGGGAGTTTATGTGCATGCTGTCACCAGGGAAAATGCAACAGCACATCTTGTTCTGTGAAAAGTCACATCTTGGCCAGGCACCCCTGCCACAGCAGTGGTTCCTGAGCCCAAAGAGGGCACTGCCAGGAGCAGAAGGCACCAAACCCCAGGAATGAAGGGACACAGTGGCAGCACTCACTGCTCCAGTCTGTGCATTTGCCTGCTTGGGTATAAATGACCATATAAATAAATACATAAATGAGTACAGTTATTGAGCTGGAGAATAAAGGGGACAGAGAATGAAGTTCTGCTTTTACTAAATCTATGACAAAATATCTCTCAATATCTTTGGAGGCAGAATTAGGCCCCACACATTGCTGCCAGTGAGGCAGAGGTGATGACAAGAGGGGCAGCTTGAGTGCCATCCTCACAGTACAGTTAAGCCTTAAAACCCTGGAGGTCTTTACCAGGAATGTTTTCTATTATCAAAACATCTGCTCCCTCCAAAGAAGGAGTTCAGGACTGTTGAGTGATTCTTGCTAGCAATGCATTGCTTCCCACCCCCAAGTCTGTGAGCCAAGCACCCTCCTCCCTGCCCAATTGTGGGAGCTGAATAGCTCTGTAAATAACAGACCTGCTTTTCTTTTTCTGCTGAGAGCCCATGAGATAAAAACCACAAGTACTATGTGGTTTGAGAATATCAGCTCTGCTGCTTTTATATTCACCAACGCCAAATTGCACAGAGCAGAAAATAACAGATCCACCACGACCACTTAAATCTGCCCAAACTCTGCTGAAATATTCTTTTTTTGAAGCACACCAAAATTTAGTTCCAGGTAGAGGTAAACTTGTCTCAATCTCCCTCCACCACTCCAAGCTCCCACTCCCTGGTGGCAATGGATGTGGTACCCAGCAGAGTCCCAAGGATCCACCCTGGCCCCCCGGGAAACACGGAATTGTGAATGCCTATTCCAAAAAAAGGGGTTGTGGTGCCCAACAGGAGATAACCTTGTAAGCTTTGGTGAAAGCTGTCCTGACTGGCCTCCCCACTTTTGGAGGCCAGAAGCCAGATAAAGCAGAAAAAACAGGGAAAATCCATGGACTTTCAAGGATTATATCTGCTTTCCACAGCAGAGGCTTTGCTGCAACGATCATAGAAGTAGGTGTATTCTCAGTTGCTTCTGTGCATCCAAGGAGGCTGGGTAATTTAATTGCTTTTCAGAATAATTTCTTATCAAGTGCCTGTGGAAATGCTAACAGCACTTCTTGAACATTCTGTAAGACCTTGAATATTTCCTCTCCTTCTTCAGAAGCTCTGAAGAAATATAGCTCTGCTAAAATATACCTTTTCATTCCTCAGCCTGAATGAATTTCAATCAGGTCAGTCTTAATAGTATGCAAATTACAATAATTAGCATTAATAAAAAATTGAAAGAAAACACTGGGAAGTTTCTGGAGAAAAAAGCTTAAGGTCAAAAGCAAACACAAAAGCAAGGTAAGGTGCAGAGGTCCTGAATTACTTGTCCAGTATGCCTTCAAGCATATGCTTAGCTCTCGGCATTTATTTCAATTAAAACAGCCCTGGCTGTCTCTCTAAAGCAGCACTGCAGGGATTGTCAGGGACTGAAGCTGCAGAAGGGATCTAGTTTTGAAAAATATATTGAGCATTAGCAAAACATCCAACTGCATACAGTATTTAAGAGACTTAAAGCCATCACAATCTGTCTGACCAAAAATTTCCTCACTCTGGAAGTAATACTACCCAAACAAAGGTCTTCCAGAAACTCTAGGGAAAGTTTTACTGTGGAAAAGGATATGATATTTCTCCAGCACTATGGATGATGGAAGGTCTTTGCTTTTCTCTGCATTCTAAATTAGCTGCTCTGGAAAAAGCAAGCAGACTGTCTTCCAAGATGCTCTCCAAGCACATAATGCCAGTAACAGCTTGACTTTCCCTCACTGTGCCACCACCTTCAACGGCTTTTGACAGACAATACTTCATCTTTTTTTCCACAGTAAATTAGCCCTCTGTTTCAAAGTTGCAATGCTTTAAGGTCAGCCACAGTTTATCCACTATGTAAATATTAACAGGCCGCTTCTGTGTGCATTAGGCTCTGAATCTGGGAAAGCATTTGGGGTACTGGGAGGTTACTGTTGTTACCGACTCTGATGCTGATCTTGGACCAACATCACCAGAGCAGACCTGCCAAGGAGCAGGGAAGGAGAGCCAATTTTAGGCTGCATTCTTTTACTGCTGCATGGAAAACAAACCTGCGGGAACGGTTCCCTCTATCAGTAATGCAGAAAATTTAACAAAGAAAAATAAGGAAAAAAATCCATCCTGTAAAATGCCTGCAGAGATGCCAAGCCCTACAAACACAAATTAATTGACAAAGATAAGATAAGAAGAGGCTGGGTGTGCAGGAACACTAACAACCAAGTTCTGTGCATAGATAAGGTGTAAGTAACAACATGATCACACAGAGTTGGAGGCTGAGACTTGAGCATTTCAAGTAAGCAGCATCACAGCAATCTGCCTTTTGGAGGGCATGGGAATCCTGAGCCTGTTTTCTCTCACAGAAAAGAGAGCTGAATAAAAGAAATATAAACACATGGATTTATACTGTTTTAGTGAATGCTGGCAAGATTCACCTCTGTACTTTAATAATGCAAAACAGTTTATCCACCTAGGTTAACCAGTCAGATCAGCTGAGCTTAAGGTCACTTCTGCTTAAAAGGGGAACCAAAACAACTGGGATATGGTAGGGCAGGCTTTATCAGATTTACAGATACATCAGCATGCATCAGTATACTGATATTTGTGGACCTACATTTGAAATTTTTAAAAGGAATTGTACCAGTGAAGAATAAAAATAAAGTTAAGCAAGTAATTTGAACATAATTCTATTTTTCAATACATTTTTATCTGTCCCTCACAACCCAATATAAATGCTTACCTATTCACTCAAACCTTCTAGAGCCCTCCACCTACTGAAAAAGATGTTTCTTGCCTGGCTGAAATGTGACAGAGGTGATAGAGGACAAAATCCTATTAAAGTAGTACCTATGTTGTTAGATAGCGGGATTTGAGCATACAAGTACCTTGTGCTTTAAACGTTATAGAAGGACTAAAACCTGACAAAACTGCTTTGGGTCCAGGACAGCTCAGTTTATTTATGAACTCAAAGTCCAATTTCAGCTGTGAGGGCCCCTTAAAGGTCTGTCCTCCTGGCAAGGACATCCTAGACCCATCCAGAGATGCCCTGATTTTGCTTTGCAGTCTCATGCCAGTGAGCTCAAAGGTGGTCCCTAGGAAGTGCTTTGCAAACTTTCACTTGGCACTCACCTGCAGATCTCATTTTCGGGTTCCTCCAGCCCAAACTGATTATCAAAAGCCAGCTGGATCCTGGTGCTCTCTGGGGAGTGGAGGCGCCACGTCAGCAGGAGGTTCCTGGGGTAGCTGCTGGGGAAGCGAGGACTGTGGATGCAGCCGTTCCCTGCCACGCTGATGGTCTCCTCCTTTCGGTACAAGTCTGTGAGGTGATTGCTCTCTGTTAGTAGTCACAACTTGTAGAAATTAGTATGTTGTTCCAGTTACAGGAAGGCAAAAAACACAACAGTTTATAACACAGCACAATTATTATCAGCATTTCAAGTCTATAAAATGTTTGGTCTAGGAGCAGATATTATTAAATGGGAAGTACACTGTATTTTCTCTTAATTCAATCCCCTATTAAACAGTAAGAACAACAGAGCTCAAGTATATAGACTCTTTATTTTACAAGAAATGTACAATTATTTTTCTACATTTATATTGATTATATAAGTTCATTCTCACCACTTTGGTTTTAAAACAGAATTAAACTTTAATAAAAGCTTGAGAACAATGAAGTAAGAAAGACTGAAATGAAAAATGTAAATAGTCCTGCTTCCCAAATTCTGTGCTCTGGGGAGCAATGCCCTCTGAACAAAAGCAGCAATGAAGGACTGCAGAAAAGTGAGTATGGGTGAATTTAAATTTCTTTACTGTGCTTAAGTATTTCCTCCCAGAAACATGTGTAAGGTCGTGTTTTGATTTTATTTATATGGTTTGAACCATTTTCTGCCTATGGTCTGTTTACTCAAACAGTTACTCCATGCTTATACCAATGTAAATGAGGCCAGATCCTATCCCATCAACCATCTTACTCAGTAACTTCCAGACAAATAGCCAGTCTTCACTTAATTAAAATTCCACAATTTTTGCCTGAGCAAATATTCAATTGTTCATAAAGTTTACTTTTACCGAGGTAAAACCTCTGCTGCTGTAAATCCATGGCTCCAAGGATTACAGGAACTTTGTCAAGACCCAGATCTCTAAAAGCCAAAATGTCTTCTCAGTTGCACCACGCACTTCCACTGCCCAGCTGTTTCTGATACTGGAATTTGGGTCAATTTGCATCAAAGAACTGCAAACAACCATTCTTCTGTGCATGGACAACTTTAGCATGGGGAAATTTTGAGGATCAGAAGACTCCAAGGCAACATTCAGATGACAGCAGGTTTCAGTTCCCAGTCAAAACATGCACCCCTGAGCCTCCACATGTGGGACAGCTACCTGTGTTCCTTCCCCACATGATGTATGGGGATCTACATGAATTTGGACACTTGTTTTCATGTAAACACCCAGACTCTGGTGTCTTTATCTTAAACTGAACATCACTCAGCTGAATGCCACACCAACCTCCAGTTCCATTGCAAGCAATAGAAATAGAAAACTGTTTTCTTCTCCTGAATCTGGCTACTGAGGAAGAACAAATAGAGGAAAATATCTCCACCAGGCCACTCTGTGAACACTGGAAATACAAAACCAAAGCAACCAGCCACAGCTATCTGTCACACACACTAATCTAAATCTTCACTTTTAAAATAAAATCTAATGTGTGACCGAATTTTTCTAAGATCTTTATATGAAATAAATATACTTGTTTTATAAATGCTCATTGAAACCAGGAATCCAGACAAATGGTACAAACTTCTTGATTAGTGCATCTATTTTTCAGGTTGCATTTCACTGGTTCCCTGGCTGTAAATACCTCCCTGCATGCAGCTGTAAACAAAGCACGATTGTCTAACCATTCATTGTACTCTTCTGACAGCACAGTAATTCTAGCTTCCAAACAACCTGAAACTCAGAAGAAAAAAGTCTATGTTTCTTATAAAACTATCTCCACAGACCTAACTGTGACATCTTTCTAAGATGCTTTCACTCTAAGCCACCCTTTCTAGGCAAACACAGCCCTAGTTCAAAAAGTGCAGAACTATTCAGTTTTGTTTTGTTCTGCTTTAACCAAACAATTTGCTTTGGAAAAGTGCCAATTTGGTGAAAATAAAGACCCCCCACCTATTAGTTTTGTTGTGATTTTCATCAGGGACATCTATGCTGAAGTCTGTTTTTTATTTGCTTTTATTCTAAAAAAAGGACAAAAAAGACATCTGTGGGGTTTTTTTCCCCTGATCTGGAATGAAACAAAATGTCCAGCCAACACTACTGAGCTCTTACTGAAATCCTGAGGACCTCTGAACTCTGAAAACACCAAGTACACTAAGAGGACACTATTTCACAGGACTTTATCCAAAACGTCCAAGAAAAGGGATAAAAATAAACCAGACTTGATGATAACAAATCTAGTGAAAAACAACCATTCCCTAAGTTGGAACAAAAGTTACTGCAGTAAAACATGGCAAAACTCATCCTGTGCCTGAGAGTCCATTACTCTTCTTTCTTGAACAGCAAACTATTGTCATTTTCCCTCTGTCACCATGCACTTCACTGTGTGGTTCAATCTGGTTCATGATTCTGAGGAAAAGGTTCCCTTTTCCTGGACATTCCTAATGCAGGCTTTACTCTCGTGTCGTCAGCTGCTGAAATTAAGAGTTCTGGGGACAGTATCTCTGAAATGTGCTCATACATTTACCCCCAAACAAAACATCTGTGCACACAGCACACCAACTGAGAATGAGTACTATTTTCTCTCTTGTACATCAAGAAGAGGGTCTGTCACAGCTTTTCATTTACATTAAACTCTGAATCATGCAGACTACAGTGCTCTGCCTGCAAGGCAGTCACACCTGACCAAGACCAGTAGTGAAATGTCACGGCTGGCACAGCTCTGCAGCATCCAAGTAGTACAGGTACATGAAGCAATAGAGCTGCACGTGTTATGCAGCTTATAAATCAAAGCACAGTGACTTGTTATTTCCACCATGGTAAACGTGGCAATTATGAAATCATTGTAGAGGAAAGGCTGGAGAGAAGCATGGGGAGAAAATTCTCACTATAGTAAAATAAGGGATATTCAAATATTCCACTCTGAGGAAAAGCCTTTTCCGTAATGGAATAAAGTATGTTTGATAAGAATGGCCATAAATACTGTTTCTATAGCCCACATGGGATGAAATCTCAAGCTATTCAGAGCCCTCATGTGATGCTGGAGCAGACTCTTCAGGAGCTCTGAAACAGCCTGATTTCCTCTCACCCTCCTCACCATGCACTAAATTACGATCTGAAGTGGTGTAGCCAGCACTGTAATCAAACACCACAGAATTTTCTAAGGTGATTTTCATTAGGATTTCACAGATAGAACACAGTCAACACAGAGTTGCTCCCAGGAGGTTGGCTCCTCATGAATCATCAAGCATCTGGGAAACAGCTTGAGGAGATGTGAGCAACTCTCGTACCTTTTGTATCAACAAATCTATGAGACTAAAATAAGACCTTTCCAAGCAGACAAGCACTGTCCTCATCAGATACACTGGGGGAGCTCATGGAAATCACACATTCACCAAGGGAAAAGTTGGGATAAAAACCACTTAATAAAAGGCATAGGCAAAGGAAAAGACAGTGCGTCTTTCAAGGCACTGAACTGTCCCATGTTGTAACACAACACAATGCGGCACCACACCGTGTCCTGGATGTCACATTCTAACTGTATTCCATAATGCTTTATGGGAGCAAATAAAACACAACAGTGCATAATGCACTGCCTGTCACATTTACTAAAAAGCATACAAAGTCATTTCACAATGAATAAAAGCAGGTGCTAAGTCATAAGGCAAAAAGGCCATTTAGGCCATAAACAAAAGGAGGATATTTGAGATTGCAGAAGCCACAAACACATCCTTGCACTGGGGGAGAAAAACTATCTCATAAGGAAGATGAATGGGAAGGAATCTGGAAGACATCCTTTTTGGTGAGGCAATTCCCTGTAGAGAGTCTGAGCTGATTGTGAAGCAGCTTGCTCTGTATTTTATTAATCTGAACTAATCTCTCCTTTTTTTCCCCTCTTAATTCTTTCGCAACCACTAAGTTTAAATATGGCATACATGATGGTCCAGCTGTCCAAATTAGAGGAGCTTCCTTTTAAATGCTCAAGGCAACTGCATTTTCCAAAGTAGTTTGCCTTCCTCCCCTGCAAGGAGTGCATCTGAGTGTCAGAGAGGGAACTGGGATGTACAGTTCAATATTCAGGAAAATGTGCTTGTCTCAAGACAGGCCTCACCATGCATGCCCAGTGCATCCAATGTTTCCCTTTCCCAGTGATGCCATGCTGCAGGAGCAGAAGAATCAGAAAGATGAATTTCATCCTGTGTTTTCTCTGGATGCCTGCACTTCCTTGTGAGCTTTAGCAACATATCAACACTTTCCTCTTAAAGCTACTCCTCCTAGTCACGACATGCCTATTACTATAGACAGAAATCTGCTTGTATCATCACCATCATTCAACAGGCAATGATGTCCTTCACTAAAACAATGGTAATAATAATTTAAAAAATCCCAACCAACCTAAAAGGCAATTTCTAACTGATAATAGCTCATTTGACATCTGTTCTGTAATATATCCAACAAGGAGAGTCTGTAAGTGTCAATTCCTTTAGAAAGAAGAAGAATTGAGAAAATGACCTTGTCTAAGGACCTAACCAACAATATGGAATACTTAGCTCCACCCTTCTAAGGTTTCTGAATTTCAACACTTCCCACATTTCCTAAGGTGTTGTTTTGTTTCTAAATTTGCTTCTGTCTTTCTTCCCCTTGGGTAAGTTGGCCAACCAACTTTGATACAGCAGTAAAGGCTGAAAAAATACCATATTCTGAATGTATTATGACAAGAAATACACCCTCTGAAATGCCATGGAGTGCAACCTCATGAGCTCATCCCTCTGGTACAGCTGAGGAGAGAGTTTCTGAGAACCATGGTGAAGTTCGTTTTATTACTTATGAAAGTATTTGTTATTTCAGGAAAGGACCTTGGGATTTTGCACATGGGGGTTTTCCAGATATAACTCTCCTCCCCCACTGCTGTTGTCTTAAAAAAAAAAAAAAATACAGCAGTCAGGGGTTTGCCACCAGTTTTTAAACAAATGAGATAACCTTCAGGGAGAATAATAGCTCTTCAGCTCCTCCAGTTGAAAATTAGCCTGATCTAAATAGCTGAATCCACAGAGAAAGAACAGTAAAACACTTCTGAATCCAGACCACAAATCAGCCCATCTCAGGGACAGGAATGTCAAG